TGTGCCTCTTTGTCGCTCGTTCCGCGCTCTCGCTTGCACTTCAAGCCTTAAATGGAACGCCTCAGAGCGAGGTAACGCCGCATGAGTCATGTTTTTTCGTGCGTGCAGCCGGCTCCATCGAATTATAAGACGTTGTCACGTCAAAAAATAAAAGTAACGCCTGAGTAACACATGAGAAAAATCGGTGGAGGTAGATTTTAAATAAAGAAAAACCTTCTGTTTCAGTAAATCACTTCGTGAGTGAAGTATTTTCCTATCGCACCTGACTTTCAGAAGCAAAAAACTTGAGGATAAATATTTTAAATAAAAGAACAACATCAACCAAGTGAGTGTTACCTTTCTCATGCGTTTGTTGATAGGCATACAGGCCTATAGGCGTGATTTACCAAAGAAGAAGGTTTTTCTCTGTTAAAAACCCACAATGTTTTCTCATAAGTTTCTCCTAATTATGCCACAAAGTTGTTTTCGAAAACACAGTGATGCTAAATTTATACCTAATTTGTTATATTAAATGTACTTATTACGTAAAATAACAATAATTCTTAAAATTGTAGCTTACGCGTAGCCGCTGGCATTATCCCTTGTCGTCTAACTTAACTTATTTTTAAAAGTTACCGAATCTAACTGTTCATTTTCTTGCGTTTCTAATTTGCTCAGAACTCATTTGATAATTAATTAAATTGTGTGGACCATTAAAGATTAAATAGGCTTAAATATAATAATTTGACATAGAATTATTCTTATATAGATTACGAAAACTGCTTTACTTTATTTTTGACATTTTCTGTCATCTTTTAATTGTAATCCCAGCATTCTACATTATCTAGAAAAATATTCAAAAACGGTATGTAGTCTATTTTATTGCATGTATTTTAGGTACCCGTGGACCCTCCCTTGTTGCGCCCCTGCTGGTAAGACAGTGGTTAAAAAACAGGAGTGTGAAAAACGTTGGTCCCTTTAAAGAATTGCTTTTTCTTGACTTGCTTTTCACGAGTTACATATATGAACTATTACTAAAAGAACTGCTGAGGTTGCTGAATGTGCAGGTTATCGTAACATCGAAAAGACTCTTTAAAATCGTAAAGTACCTACTTCAACTTAAAACAGCTTTAACCTAGGACAGGTTATTTTCGCAAATCTGAATTTTTAAGTTACATACCTACTAGAAAAATATAAGTAAAATTAAATGTACAACTCCTTTTGATTAGGTGTGTACTGTTGTTTTATGATGTGAGTTAGCTCCTTAAAAAGATTACTTTTATACAAAATAGTAAATGTCTAATTACTGGGAATTGTTACACATTTACATATCGAACGCTAAGAATAAAAAATCATATGAAAACTGTCGTCGAAAATCAAACGCTCTTAAAATGATGAAGCCTTTTTTATCTGAATTTTACTATTTAGCGTTTATTTTATTTGGTTGCTAATTTTTCACAGCTACACTAAATAAAATTTTACAAATGTGTCTTCCAGAATTAAATTATTTAATATTTTTGGTGTGAAACTAACTAGAACTCTTGAAATAAGTAATTGTACATACGAAAGCAATTAGCAACAAAAAATAGAACAGTTTCACTATATTAATGGTGTGTGATACTTGACGACCTTAAAAAATGGTGAAACTCCTTAATTTTAGATCTGATTTTTAAAATATAGTGTCTATCCCGAATCTCCTTTATCTCCAACTTCTATAAGTTATGTATGAATACATAAAGTTGATCATTTGCTGATCTAGTTTTTGATTTCAGGTATGCTAGTATAGGGGAGAACAACCATCGTTACGTAAGTGTATATTTTCTTTTATCGGTCTTTTTTATACTGGGATTACTTTAAGGCAGCGGCTATTAAACCTTTTTCATCAACGAGTACACGCACCCAAGTGTGTACTTGTGTGTATTTACAAATGGGGTGGGTAACAAAGTATCAAAGTGTTTGTGTGTGAACAGTGCATTCAGTGTAAGATCGTTGTCATTTTTTTGAAATAGGAAAATAACTTTTTAGTACTTTTTTAGGTAAATTACTTTAATCAGTACCCGTAACTTGTTCCTCGCAATTCTTCAATGATTTAGAATATAGTGAATAAGAGAATTTATCAATTACGGTAAAATGTTATGTAAAATGAAAGAAAGTAAGTAAACTACAATTAGTAAATATAATTCAGGGTAATTGGTTTAGGAAAAAATGTTTTATAATATATCAAAAATTATGAAATTAATACATGTACAATTACTACTCCTGATAATGCCCTTATAGGGCGAAATGGGTATCATGTGTTAAATAAATGTTAAAATTAAATTAAATTTTACCTAATAAAAGAAAATATTAAAGGAATATCAAAAATTAACGTTATCAGTAATTTGCTTAGCAGATTTTTCATTCGTATATTAGTGAATTATTTGTTTCCCTATTTTTCCAAAAATTATTTATTCACAAATAACTTCACTCCGAGATTTTCTTTTGTTAACAGCAAGAAATGCTCAAATTATCACTAAAAGTCAGAATGCATTTCTTACCTTTTTTACAACAAATAAAACGTCAATTACCATTATTTACCATTATAGCTGTGTACCACAATTTACTGATACCTGACGAAATTTAATAAAATAGAAATTCTGTATTTCGACCAACTACGTCGATGCGAAGCTCGTATTCTTACCAAAATAGCACCAATAGGTAAATAAGTACCATACATTGGATATACTGGATAAAAGTTAAAGTTTAATTCTTATCCAACTGTCATGACTTATTATAAGAAGAAATAAAAAACACAACTATGTTTATTAAACAAGATGTAAAAAGTCAATAACAAAGTACTTAGAAAACAATAGAATAGACTGGAATATTAATTTAAGGCTTATCATTTAGTGGAATTGTTTCGGCAATGCTATTTGGCTTTTCGTCTTGCTGGAAGGAAAAGAAAAATCTATATGTTGCTGCTCCAAAAATTGCTGCCAATGTGGGGCCTAGCCAGTACACCTGAAAGAGTATTTCAGTTTATGTAAATAACACATTAAGAAAAGCCTTATTTACAATCTGTTGTCTCAAAATAGAAAGATGCTTTAGCAACACATTTAGTAAAAAATATTTTCTGTAATCTGACATCATAATTTATTAAACAGGTTGAAAGTGAATTTCGAATTAATTCCCTTAATATCTCAAAATGAGTCTAGTAAATTTCAAGCAATTCACACAGAAGGTTCAAACTTTCGACGATGGTAAATTATGTTTAATAAAAATAAAAGAACACTGAAGTGTTTTCATAAAATTATTAACTGCTATCGCGGTATATTGTTTGAACCGATACAACCACTACCAAAAGTACAATAGATGACTAAAGTTTAAAGAAAATTAAACATTTTGGTATTAGCTATTGATGCTAGTGGACGGGAAAAACCTCAGACAACCACTCTGGTGCACTGCAAAGCCGAAGGATAAGACAAAATGTCCTCTTCATCTTTCCCACGGGAATCTCGCAATTAAGTATAAATTATAGTTATAATACTTTAAACTTTAATGTCAATACGTTAAGAAGGTTTTTACTTTTAGTAGTAATAGCGGTTAATATTGTAATAATAATATATTATCAAACATTAATGTGAAATCAATTTAACTTCTTCCCACTTGAGATTAAGTACCTCACTTTAATGAGGAACAATTTGTTGCAGTTGTCATACATACATTCTTAAAAAAAATCTTCATTATCTTGAGATAATTTGTAGTGGGAAGAAATTAAGTTGATTTCACATTAATGCATATCGTATATCGTTGAGGTAATAAATAATGTTGTGAAAATACTCCATTGGTCCTTGCTTATTACACACAAAAGTTGCTAAATATTCTAATACAACATAAACGTCTATTTTTATATATATGATCGTATTTGAATGCATTCGGACTCACCCAGTGATCTTTCCAATCTCCATTCCATAAGGCAGGTGCTAAACTTCTGGCAGGATTCAAATGAGCTCCTGAATACGGTCCCTAAAATTAATAATTAGAAAATATCATTTGAAACATCTTTTTATATTTATCTAACATCAGTCAACAATTTAAATGCAAACTTTAACTTTTGGTTATTTCATTCCCACCAGCCAGTAATGCTGGTGGGCGGGCAGTCTCTCCGGATTACGCCGGAAGGTAGGGCGGAAGTCCCTCTTCAGCCTTCTTTCAGGAATCGTGGGAATGGGTGGGTGGTGGTTCGGGTGAGAAAGATGAGACGGACGAAATGAAGACAGAAGAGAATGAAAGATTATCTGTGGAATATTACTGCCTCAGCATTTGCCTAAGTGATCCAAGGAAACCACTGAAAAACTTGGACCAAGGCAGACGGACCCGGAATCGAACCGGCGTCCTCCCGAATGCTAAGCAATGGTCTA